AGAGAGGACCTCTGAGTCCTCCTCCAGCAGAGTACCTAACTAACTCTGTGTTCTCCTTCAGACTTTAGGAGAGAGGACCTCTGAGTCCTCCTCCAGCAGAGTACCTAACTAACTCTGTGTTCTCCTTCAGACTTTAGGAGAGAGGACCTCTGAGTCCTCCTCCAGCAGAGTACCTAACTAACTCTGTGTTCTCCTTCAGACTTTAGGAGAGAGGACCTCTGAGTCCTCCTCCAGCAGAGTACCTAACTAACTCTGTGTTCTCCTTCAGACTTTAGGAGAGAGGACCTCTGAGTCCTCCTCCAGCAGAGTACCTAACTAACTCTGTGTTCTCCTTCAGACTTTAGGAGAGAGGACCTCTGAGTCCTCCTCCAGCAGAGTACCTAACTAACTCTGTGTTCTCCTTCAGACTTTAGGAGAGAGGACCTCTGAGTCCTCCTCCAGCAGAGTACCTAACTAACTCTGTGTTCTCCTTCAGACTTTAGGAGAGAGGACCTCTGAGTCCTCCTCCAGCAGAGTACCTAACTAACTCTGTGTTCTCCATCAGACTTTAGGAGAGAGGACCTCTGAGTCCTCCTCCAGCAGAGTACCTAACTAACTCTGTGTTCTCCATCAGACTTTAGGAGAGAGGACCTCTGAGTCCTCCTCCAGCAGAGTACCTAACTAACTCTGTGTTCTCCTTCAGACTTTAGGAGAGAGGACCTCTGAGTCCTCCTCCAGCAGAGTACCTAACTAACTCTGTGTTCTCCTTCAGACTTTAGGAGAGAGGACCTCTGAGTCCTCCTCCAGCAGAGTACCTAACTAACTCTGTGTTCTCCTTCAGACTTTAGGAGAGAGGACCTCTGAGTCCTCCTCCAGCAGAGTACCTAACTAACTCTGTGTTCTCCTTCAGACTTTAGGAGAGAGGACCTCTGAGTCCTCCTCCAGCAGAGTACCTAACTAACTCTATGTTCTCCTTCAGACTTTAGGAGAGAGGACCTCTGAGTCCTCCTCCAGCAGAGTACCTAACTAACTCTGTGTTCTCCTTCAGACTTTAGGAGAGAGGACCTCTGAGTCCTCCTCCAGCAGAGTACCTAACTAACTCTGTGTTCTCCATCAGACTTTAGGAGAGAGGACCTCTGAGTCCTCCTCCAGCAGAGTACCTAACTAACTCTGTGTTCTCCTTCAGACTTTAGGAGAGAGGACCTTTGAGTCCTCCTCCAGCAGAGTACCTAACTAACTCTGTGTTCTCCTTCAGACTTTAGGAGAGAGGACCTCTGAGTCCTCCTCCAGCAGAGTACCTAACTAACTCTGTGTTCTCCTTCAGACTTTAGGAGAGAGGACCTCTGAGTCCTCGTCCAGCAGAGTACCTAACTAACTCTGTGTTCTCCTTCAGACTTTAGGAGAGAGGACCTCTGAGTCCTCCTCCAGCAGAGTACCTAACTAACTCTGTGTTCTCCTTCAGACTTTAGGAGAGAGGACCTCTGAGTCCTCCTCCAGCAGAGTACCTAACTAACTCTGTGTTCTCCTTCAGACTTTAGGAGAGAGGACCTCTGAGTCCTCCTCCAGCAGAGTACCTAACTAACTCTGTGTTCTCCTTCAGACTTTAGGAGAGAGGACCTCTGAGTCCTCCTCCAGCAGAGTACCTAACTAACTCTGTGTTCTCCATCAGACTTTAGGAGAGAGGACCTCTGAGTCCTCCTCCAGCAGAGTACCTAACTAACTCTGTGTTCTCCTTCAGACTTTAGGAGAGAGGACCTCTGAGTCCTCCTCCAGCAGAGTACCTAACTAACTCTGTGTTCTCCTTCAGACTTTAGGAGAGAGGACCTCTGAGTCCTCGTCCAGCAGAGTACCTAACTAACTCTGTGTTCTCCTTCAGACTTTAGGAGAGAGGACCTCTGAGTCCTCCTCCAGCAGAGTACCTAACTAACTCTGTGTTCTCCTTCAGACTTTAGGAGAGAGGACCTCTGAGTCCTCCTCCAGCAGAGTACCTAACTAACTCTGTGTTCTCCTTCAGACTTTAGGAGAGAGGACCTCTGAGTCCTCCTCCAGCAGAGTACCTAACTAACTCTGTGTTCTCCTTCAGACTTTAGGAGAGAGGACCTCTGAGTCCTCCTCCAGCAGAGTACCTAACTAACTCTGTGTTCTCCTTCAGACTTTAGGAGAGAGGACCTCTGAGTCCTCCTCCAGCAGAGTACCTAACTAACTCTGTGTTCTCCTTCAGACTTTAGTGTCTGCACATTTCTCCTACTAGCAGTAGAATTACAGAATGCCTCATTAACACATTTAACACAACATGATGTCAGTAAACTTGTAATGTCAAAAGTAATAGTGTCAGAAACGGGGTTCATGGTGATAGCTGTTCTTTTTCTATGAACATTTCTAATTTCATTGATTTTGTTAAACCTTTTTTGGTCTAATTATTACGACTTTTACCTCCAAATGTATTTCCTCTCCTCTCTCCAGAAACCTCACACACACCATTCACACACACGTTATCACTAGAACATGCAGGGAATGAGTTGATGGCAGGGTGTTCTGATGTATGGACTGATTCAGAGAGAAAGCCCTGACTGTAACATGAGGACAACATGGAACAAGAACCTGGCTTTATCACATATAATAATACAAATATAAATACATGCAAATGAGGACATACCTAGGACATATTTTGAGATGTTTCAATTTTAGATTAGCTTATTTATACTCTTGTCATTGCTACTGATGTGCAATGCCTTGTCTCTTATGCTCAGGCAACACAAAACAAATCCCAATTTCAGATCAATAAAGTACACCTTATCTTATCTTATACTGTCTCTTTGGTATAGTTTCACTTTTAACATTTAGCATACCCTGCTGCGTCCAGTTCTCCTGGTAGTTCATCTCACCTTCACCTGTAGTGTCTCCCGTTAAAAACCGTCTGTAGTTCCAACTGACCGTGTGTAGTTCCAACTGACCGCCGTTTGTAGTTCCAACTGTAGTTCCAACTGACCGTTTGTAGTTCAAAGTGACCGTTTGTAGTTCAAAGTGACCGTTTGTAGTTCCAACTGACCGTTTGTAGTTCCAACTGACCGTTTGTAGTTCCAACTGTAGTTCCAACTGACCGTTTGTAGTTCAAAGTGACCGTTTGTAGTTCAAAGTGACCGTTTGTAGTTCCAACTGACCGTTTGTAGTTCCAACTGACCGTTTGTAGTTCCAACTGTAGTTCCAACTGACCGTTTGTAGTTCAAAGTGACCGTTTGTAGTTCCAACTGACCGTTTGTAGTTCAAAGTGACCGTTTGTAGTTCAAAGTGACTGTTTGCAGGACCAACTGACAGTAGGTCTACCTAGCTGTAGCAGAATCTAGCCTAGCCTGTAAAAAGTGATTATAAAACAAGTGTGCAGTTCCAACTGACCGTTTGTAGTTCCAACTGACCGTTTGTAGTTCCAACGGACCGTTTGTAGTTCCAAGTGACCGCCGTCTGTAGTTCCAACTGACCGTTTGTAGTTTCCAACTGACAGCTCTATCTAGCTGTAGCAGTAAAAAGTGATTATAAAACAAGTGTTCCGTTCCAACTGACCGTTTGTAGTTCAAAGTAACTGTTTGTAGTTCCAACGGACAGTAGCTATCTAGCTGTAGCAGAATCTACCCTAGCCGTAAAACAGACATGATAAAAAATAAGTTTGAAGATCCAACTGACAATTTTTAGATCCAACTGACCGTGTGTAGTTCAAACTGACCTATAGTAGCTCCAACTGACCGTTTTTAGTTCTAACTGACGGTTTGTAGTTCAAAGTGAAAGTTGCGCTATGTAGCTGTAGCATAAGCTAGCCGCCGTTAGCCGGTAAAAAGAGACAGAAGTAGTTCTAGAAGTGAGATGGGAGGGTCAAACCGTGACTGTGTCCGGGGGAAGGTGTTCTCTGAGCCCAGGTGTGTGTCCGGCTGTCTGTCCGCAGGTCTGCCGCAGGTTTAACAGGGAGAAACGGGGAGCAACGGGGAGCAACGGGGAGCAACTGGAGATTTGATCAGTTACCGGCGACCGTTGGCTCAGCTCGTGCGCTCTGTTGTCAGGGGACGCCGCGAGTCTCCTCTGATTGGGCAGGCCCTGCGATGACGTCACTTAATGTCTTTACTTGGCCAACTGACATATTTTGATTATAATGGATTACATTTTTAATTAGAGCGCTTTTACAGGTGCTCAAAGCACTTTACAGTTACATATTACACATATTAGACATGTAAATGTCAATAATGTGGACATTACCCACAGGAGCAAATGCGGATAGAGTGTCTTGCCCAAGGACACAACGGCCTGACGCAGTGGCGGCCGAGGCGGGTTTCGAGCTGGAGTTCACGCCCCTATATAACATAAGGGATTTATCTTTTGATTTACAAACATTAATTTAGAAATGTAAGAAATATAATCAATAAAATAAGTCAGATTGTATTTTATCAGAGAAGTCACTTATTTATTCAAAAATATGGATTTTGAGAAACTCACTCAAACAGAAACAACAGGAGCCACTAAAAACAGAACTGAATAAAACTGTTTTGTTAAAACAATTCAATATATATACTACTATATTATCAGACCTTATACTATGTGGCGTATGCTGAAAATATATCACAATGTACCATGTTCAAATATACACGCTTTGTTTTCCTCTCAATGTATTTACAGAACCAGCCGCTTCTTTCATTTTAGATACCGTTCATACCATGTTTCTCACTCTGCTTTATCTTTTGCTGGACTTATAACTTCTCACTGTACATTTCACATTTATATTTAATTGAATATGCCATTCTTGCTCACTTAATGTACATAATATCCCACTTTCGTATTGCATTAGCTGTAATTTATATAATACGGTTTATTTTCTACTCTTTTTTTAGATTTAATTTAGCATTAATAAAGTATATCTTATCTCAAAGTACGTCTTCTATTTTCTCTTTACTGTATCTGCACTATACCTCAGATTCAGATTCTGTTATTATATCACACAACTACATTTCCCTGCATGCTTTGCGCGATGACGCTCGGCTGTGTCCTGCCCGCCCGTTGTGAGAATCTCCCGGCATGCCTTTCTGTAGGCCGAGAAGAAGCAGGAGAAGTGTCATGATGGAGTTATAAAGAGCTTTTTATTCATCTATTAAATCAGCTTCTTCCATGTTTCCTCAGAGAGAGTCTGTGGAGGATCGATAGAGACAGAGAGAGTATCTGCAGGCTGAGGTGAGCTCTGAGCGCCGCGGTTAGCTCCTGCTAGCACACAGCTACCGGTTTGAATCTGATAAACACATTAAAGACACACAAACACCACCTGAAAAACATCTGAAGCTGCTCCTAAAAACACGTGAAGCTGCTCCTAAATACACCTGAAACTGCTCTTAAATACACCTGAAACTGCTCCTAAACACACCTGAAACTGCTGCTAAATACCACGAGATCTCCACTAACAACCAGAGAGGTGTGTTTACATGATGAGCTACAAGCTAACAGCTAGCCTGTTAGCATTGTTAGCCGCAGGAGCTAATGTTTTCTTTTTCATTTTACAACATTTAAGGAACTTCTTTCCGGTTAGTGACATTGGATAGTGCAAATACAGTGTAGATAATAATAAAACCAACAGTTTACATGTGACAGAAATAAGAATTACAAACAGTGACTAACAACAGAGTAACATGAGTCTCACAATGAGACACGTTTCCTGGCCGTTTCTTATGTAAAGTTCGTTCTTTCATCTAATAAAGTGGGGTTTAATATGATATGTATATATGATATATATGTGTATATATGATATATATGTGTTTATAGCGCTTCTTTAACCAGAAGCAGCCCGGGGTTCTCTTAGCTTTGTTAGCCGCAGGAGCTAATGGTGTTAGCAGCATCCCATAGTGCGAGCGATATGTTGCATAGATATTACAGTCATGCCGTCTGTTTCACTGTTAGCTCACTGTTAGCTCACTGTTAGCTCACTGTTAGCCACCTGTTCGGCTAGCTGCCGTGGAGCCTCGTGCTTCCGTTGCTGATGAAAACAGCCTCAGGAACTCCAGGACTTTACTTCAGGTAGCTAAACTACAGTGTAGGATAATACGATCCGGTGATACTTTAATGGTCAGATCAAGTCTGAGATGCTCCTGGCATCCCAGCAGCTCCATGTGTAACATCAACAGACAAACATCAAGACACACGAGAAACAAACACACATGGAACATCACAGCAGCATCAGAGAGAGATGCTCAGAGAGACTTCAGCGTGCATCTGATCTGTAGCTCTGTGTTCACTGAGAGGACTGTCTGGAGCACAGAGGATGCTTCAGGCTGTCTGGAGCACAGAGGATGCTTCAGGCTGTCTGGAGCACAGAGGATACTTCAGGCTGTCTGGAGTACAGAGGATGCTTCAGGCTGTCTGGAGTACAGAGGATGCTTCAGGCTGTCTGGAGCACAGAGGATGCTTCAGGCTGTCTGGAGCACAGAGGATGCTTCAGGCTGACTGGAGCACAGAGGATGCTTCAGGCTGTCTGGAGCACAGAGGATGCTTCAGGCTGTCTGGAGCACAGAGGATGCTTCAGGCTGTCTGGAGCACAGAGGATACTTCAGGCTGTCTGGAGCACAGAGGATGCTTCAGGCTGTCTGGAGCACAGAGGATGCTTCAGGCTGTCTGGAGCACAGAGGATGCTTCAGGCTGTCTGGAGCACAGAGGATGCTTCAGGCTGACTGGAGCACAGAGGATGCTTCAGGCTGTCTGGAGCACAGAGGATGCTTCAGGCTGTCTGGAGCACAGAGGATGCTTCAGACTGACTGGAGCACAGAGGATGCTTCAGGCTGTCTGGAGCACAGAGGATGCTTCAGGCTGTCTGGAGCACAGAGGATGCTTCAGGCTGTCTGGAGCACAGAGGATGCTTCAGGCTGTCTGGAGCACAGAGGATGCTTCAGACTGACTGGAGCACAGAGGATGCTTCAGGCTGGAGCACAGAGGATGCTTCAGGCTGACTTTAGTGAATCTCCATCAGATGGTAGCAGTTCATATTCTCTGTCAGAGCATGCTTTGGGTCCCAGAGGATGCTGCTGGAGCCTCTCAGGTTATTGTGGTCTGTGAGTCAAAGCCCTGCTTTCAACAGACTCAAGTACAAACGTATTGGCATCAAACTGACCTGAATCACCTCAGATGATCTGACCGGTGGTTTTAGTGAGTAGACTGTTCATAGTGAAGACGTTCAGTTTGAGAGAAGCAGCCGGTGCTGAACACGCAGATAGCTGTCACACGAAACATGTCTTTGTTTCTACTTTTCTGGAAACTATTCATAATTGATCTAAAACACAGTAGGTAGTCAAAACCAGTAATACATTTTAGGGCTGCACGATTTTGGAAAAGATACATTTTTATTTAGCATTAGCAGCCTTTAGCTTAGCGGTGGTGACGTGAAGTCATGTGACCGTGCTGTAGTTCCTTTATAGCCCAACATTAGCCTCCTTTAGCTTAGCGGTGGTGACGTGAAGTCATGTGACCGTGCTGTAGTTCCTTTATAGCCCAACATTAGCCTCCTTTAGCTTAGCGGTGGTGAGGTGAAGTCATGTGACCGTGCTGTAGTTCCTCTATAGCCCAACATTAGCCTCCTTTAGCTTAGCGGTGGTGACGGGAAGTCATGTGACCGTGCTGTAGTTCCTTTATAGCCCAACATTAGCCTCCTTTAGCTTAGCGGTGGTGACGTGAAGTCATGTGACCGTGCTGTAGTTCCTGTATAGCCCAACATTAGCCTCCTTTAGCTTAGCGGTGGTGACGTGAAGTCATGTGACCGTGCTGTAGTTCCTTTATAGCCCAACATTAGCCTCCTTTAGCTTAGCGGTGGTGGCGTGAAGTCATGTGACCGTGCTATAGTTCCTTTATAGCCCAACATTAGCCTCCTTTAGCTTAGCGGTGGTGACGTGAAGTCATGTGACCGTGCTGTAGTTCCTTTACAGCCCAACATTAGCCTCCTTTAGCTTAGCGGTGGTGACGTGAAGTCATGTGACCGTGCTGTAGTTCCTTTATAGCCCAACATTAGCCTCCTTTAGCTTAGCGGTGGTGACGTGAAGTCATGTGACTGTGCTGTAGTTCCTTTATAGCCCAACATTAGCCTCCTTTAGCTTAGCGGTGGTGACGTGAAGTCATGTGACCGTGCTGTAGTTCCTTTATAGCCCAACATTAGCCTCCTTTAGCTTAGCGGTGGTGACATGAAGTCATGTGACCGTGCAGTAGTTCCTTTATAGCCCAACGTTAGCCACCTTTAGCTTAGCGGTGGTGACGTGAAGTCACGTGACCGTGCTGTAGTTCCTTTATAGTCCAACATTAGCCTCCTTTAGCTTAGCGGTGGTGGCGTGAAGTCATGTGACCGTGCTGTAGTTCCTTCATAGCCCAACATTAGCCTCCTTTAGCTTAGCGGTGGTGACGTGAAGTCATGTGACCGTGCTGTAGTTCCTTTATAGCCCAACATTAGTCTCCTTTAGTTTAGCGGTGGTGGCGTGAAGTTATGTGACTGTGCTGTAGTTCCTTTATAGCCCAACATTAGCCTCCTTTAGCTTAGCGGTGGAGACGTGAAGTCATGTGACCGTACTGTAGTTCCTTTTATAGCCCAGCATTAGCCTCCTTTAGCTTAGCGGTGGAGACGTGAAGTCATGTGACCGTGCTGTAGCTCCTTTATAGCCCAACATTAGCCACCTTTAGCTTAGCGGTGGTTTCGTGAAGTCATGTGACCGTGCTGTAGCTCCTTTATAGCCCAACATTAGCCACCTTTAGCTTAGCGGTGGAGACGTGAAGTCATGTGACCATACTGTAGTTCCTTTATAGCCCAGCATTAGCCTCCTTTAGCTTAGCGGTGGAGACGTGAAGTCATGTGACCGTGCTGTAGCTCCTTTATAGCCCAACATTAGCCACCTTTAGCTTAGCGGTGGTTTCGTAAAGTCATGTGACCGTGCTGTAGTTCCTCTATAGCCCAGCATTAGCCTCCTTTAGCTTAGCGGTGGTGAGGTGAAGTCATGTGACCGTGCTATAGTTCCTCTATAGCCCAACGTTAGCTGTTTAAAGCTCCTGATTGATCTAACCATACTCTAACCGACCTGTCCCCCCCTGCAGGTACAGAGAGTCACCATGGCGACGGACATCGGTTCCCCGCAGCGCTTCTTCCACATGCCGCGCTTCCAGCACCAGGCTCCGCGGCAGGTGTTCTACAAGAGGCCGGACTTCGCCCAGCAGCAGGCGATGCAGCAGCTCACCTTCGACGGGAAGCGCATGAGGAAGGCTGTGAACCGCAAGACCATCGACTACAACCCCTCTGTCATCAGACACCTGGAGGTAAACACTCACCTGATCACCTGTCCATCACTAACCCCTCTGTCATCAGACACCTGGAGGTAAACACTCACCTGATCACCTGTCCATCACTAACCCCTCTGTCATCAGACACCTGGAGGTAAACACTCACCTGATCACCTGTCCATCACTAACCCCTCTGTCATCAGACACCTGGAGGTAAACACTCACCTGATCCCCTGTCCATCACTAACCCCTCTGTCATCAGACACCTGGAGGTAAACACTCACCTGATCACCTGTCCATCACTAACCCCTCTGTCATCAGACACCTGGAGGTAAACACTCACCTGATCACCTGTCCATCACTAACCCCTCTGTCATCAGACACCTGGAGGTAAACACTCACCTGATCACCTGTTCATCACTAACCCCTCTGTCATCAGACACCTGGAGGTAAACACTCACCTGATCCCCTGTCCATCACTAACCCCTCTGTCATCAGACACCTGGAGGTAAACACTCACCTGTCCATCACTAACCCCTCTGTCATCAGACACCTGGAGGTAAACACTCACCTGTCCATCACTAACCCCTCTGTCATCAGACACCTGGAGGTAAACACTCACCTGTCCATCACTAACCCCTCTGTCATCAGACACCTGGAGGTAAACACTCACCTGTCCATCACTAACCCCTCTGTCATCAGACACCTGGAGGTAAACACTCACCTGTCCATCACTAACCCCTCTGTCATCAGACACCTGGAGGTAAACACTCACCTGTCCATCACTAACCCCTCTGTCATCAGACACCTGGAGGTAAACACTCACCTGTCCATCACTAACCCCTCTGTCATCAGACACCTGGAGGTAAACACTCACCTGTCCATCACTAACCCCTCTGTCATCAGACACCTGGAGGTAAACACTCACCTGTCCATCACTAACCCCTCTGTCATCAGACACCTGGAGGTAAACACTCACCTGTCCATCACTAACCCCTCTGTCATCAGACACCTGGAGGTAAACACTCACCTGTCCATCACTAACCCCTCTGTCATCAGACACCTGGAGGTAAACACTCACCTGTCCATCACTAACCCCTCTGTCATCAGACACCTGGAGGTAAACACTCACCTGTCCATCACTAACCCCTCTGTCATCAGACACCTGGAGGTAAACACTCACCTGTCCATCACTAACCCCTCTGTCATCAGACACCTGGAGGTAAACACTCACCTGTCCATCACTAACCCCTCTGTCATCAGACACCTGGAGGTAAACACTCACCTGTCCATCACTAACCCCTCTGTCATCAGACACCTGGAGGTAAACACTCACCTGTCCATCACTAACCCCTCTGTCATCAGACACCTGGAGGTAAACACTCACCTGTCCATCACTAACCCCTCTGTCATCAGACACCTGGAGGTAAACACTCACCTGTCCATCACTAACCCCTCTGTCATCAGACACCTGGAGGTAAACACTCACCTGTCCATCACTAACCCCTCTGTCATCAGACACCTGGAGGTAAACACTCACCTGTCCATCACTAACCCCTCACAGGAGCAGCTCGTGCACAGCAAGATTCTCTCCATGCAGTAATTAAAGCATCAGAGAAAACATTTAAAAGTGTACAGATCATAAAGATGTGTGTGTGTGTGTATGTGTAGTGTTTCCCACAGATCTGAAATATACTTGGGCGGGTGGTGGCAGCGGGCGGGGGGGTGCGTTTTCATTTTGTATAATCATTTTGCGTAAAGATGGCACTCAAGGGCACACTAGTGGTGGTGTTCCTGGCGGGATTTGAACTCACAGCCTTCCGATCTTCAGCCCACCTCACTATCCATTAGACCAATCACTACCCTCTCAAATGGAAATATGTGTTTACATAAATGGTGACCACACCGTTTGAGACCCACTGAGAACTTAGACTAAGTTAACTATCTAAACACTCAGAGTCCTTTACCTCACCTGAGCTGAGGTTATCCCGAGCTTGAATGACACACAGAGACCAATCAAGGGCTTTGATTTATGATCTGTATGACAGTGGCCATGTCGGCAGGCCACATCATGTGGACAGCCAGTCACCCTGTGTGAGGCAGGCCACTTAACGAGGCGAGATCAGAGCAAGGGAGCGAGGGATCATTGTCCACAAGTTAATCGATCGCAGATGGCGTCGTGGTCACGGACGAATAAAATTTTTTTTTTAAAAAGGGTCGCGAAATATACTTGGGCGGCCGTTAATATACCTGGGCGGCCCGCCCAAGTATAGTCTATGTGTGGGAAACCCTGATGTGTGTGTGTGTATATGTGTGTGTGTGTGTATGTGTGTGTGTCCTGAGCTCCTGTCAGTAACTTGTGCAGCTCCAGTGAAACAGTGTGTGTGTGTGTGTGTGTCGTGCAGCTCCAGTGAAACTGTGTGTGTCGTGCAGCTCCAGTGAAACTGTGTGTGTGTGTGTGTCGTGCAGCTCCAGTGAAACAGTGTGTGTGTGTGTGTGTGTCGTGCAGCTCCAGTGAAACAGTGTGTGTGTGTGTGTGTGTCGTGCAGCTCCAGTGAAACTGTGTGTGTCGTGCAGCTCCAGTGAAACAGTGTGTGTGTGTGTGTGTCGTGCAGCTCCAGTGAAACAGTGTGTGTGTGTGTGTCGTGCAGCTCCAGTGAAACAGTGTGTGTGTGTGTGTCGTGCAGCTCCAGTGAAACAGTGTGTGTGTGTGTGTGTCGTGCAGCTCCAGTGAAACTGTGTGTGTGTGTGTGTCGTGCAGCTCCAGTGAAACAGTGTGTGTGTGTGTGTGTGTCGTGCAGCTCCAGTGAAACTGTGTGTGTCGTGCAGCTCCAGTGAAACTGTGTGTGTGTGTGTGTCGTGCAGCTCCAGTGAAACAGTGTGTGTGTGTGTGTGTCGTGCAGCTCCAGTGAAACAGTGTGTGTGTGTGTGTCGTGCAGCTCCAGTGAAACAGTGTGTGTGTGTGTCGTGCAGCTCCAGTGAAACAGTGTGTGTGTGTGTGTGTTGCAGAACCGCCTGTGGCAGCGCGACCACAGAGACTTCAGGGCGCTGCAGCCGGACGCTGGCTGTTACAACGAGGTGAGAACTGCCTCAGCATTAACCCTGTGATCTCAGCTGCTCTCTGATTGGCTCGTCCACTCTTTTAGCTTTTCTCTGATTTTTTTTGTTTTTTCTCAGGAATTTTTGCTTTTGTTTTTATCTCTGAATTTTGTCATGATTCTGAGATTTTCCAAAAACCTGAATGTCTAACCGGAGCTGTCAGCTGTTCTCGCCCTCGCTCATCTCTGCCCTTTACTCTCCTGGTTATAAACACAAGTCCTCTGACCTTTGAACCCTAACCCTGGGAGCCAGATCGCTCATGAGCTCAGTCCTCCGCACTCAGACATTACTCTACAGACTGTCTGTTACCGCAGACAGAGCCGCAGACAGAGCCGCAGACAGAGCCGCAGACAGCGTGGTGTTACCTAGGAAGCATGCATACACACAAATACAACAGGTACAGTTTCCAAAACACACATCCTGTAGCAGCACATCCTTCGTCTTTCACAGGGTCACAACGATCCAGTGTCTTGAATCCTATTGTTTTTACAGTATCAGTCCAAACATTGGAAATGAGGTTGTGTGTGTTGTAATATCCGTGTGTGTGTGTGTGTGTTTCAGCTGGTTCCTCCTGTGGGGATGGTGAACAACTCGATGAACGCCGTCACCACCAAGTTTGTCCGAACCTCCACCAACAAAGTGAAGTGTCCCGTGTTTGTGATCAGGGTGAGTCGCCTGCTGGAGATCAAAGAGATATATACTATCACAATTCAGTTCTCTCTCATCGTGAGCTCAGCAGCTACGGAGCACACATGGAGGTGGCACACTGAAGTCCTCCTCCAGCAGAGCAGCATATACATAGGACCTACCACAGATACAACAGTGCTAGAGAATGTTTTGAGATGTGCACGTTCATACAACGAGTCTGTCTGCAGCAAAGGGGATGTTCCTCACAGAGCTCAGGGGGTCTGCTGGCCTCTGGAGGAGCCCGTCTGCCGGCCTCTGGAGGAGCCCGTCTGCCGGCCTCTGGAGGAGCCCGTCTGCCGGCCTCTGGAGGAGCCCGTCTGCCGGCCTCTGGAGGAGCCCGTCTGCTGGCCTCTGGAGGAGCCCGTCTGCTGGCCTCTGGAGGAGCCCGTCTGCTGGCCTCTGGAGGAGCCCGTCTGACGGCCTCTGGAGGAGCCCGTCTGACGGCCTCTGGAGGAGCCCGTCTGACGGCCTCTGGAGGAGCCCGTCTGCTGGCCTCTGGAGGAGCCCGTCTGCTGGCCTCTGGAGGAGCCCGTCTGCTGGCCTCTGGAGGAGCCCGTCTGCTGGCCTCTGGAGGAGCCCGTCTGCTGGCCTCTGGAGGAGCCCGTCAGACGGCCTCTGGAGGAGCCCGTCTGCTGGCCTCTGGAGGAGCCCGTCTGACGGCCTCTGGAGGAGCCCGTCTGCCGGCCTCTGGAGGAGCCCGTCTGCCGGCCTCTGGAGGAGCCCGTCTGCCGGCCTCTGGAGGAGCCCGTCTGCCGGCCTCTGGAGGAGCCCGTCTGACGGCCTCTGGAGGAGCCCGTCTGACGGCCTCTGGAGGAGCCCGTCTGACGGCCTCTGGAGGAGCCCGTCTGACGGCCCTCTGGAGGAGCCCGTCAGACGGCCTCTGGAGGAGCCCGTCAGACGGCCTCTGGAGGAGCCCGTCTGCTGGCCTCTGGAGGAGCCCGTCTGACGGCCTCTGGAGGAGCCCGTCTGACGGCCTCTGGAGGAGCCCGTCAGACGGCCTCTGGAGGAGCCCGTCTGCTGGCCTCTGGAGGAGCCCGTCTGACGGCCTCTGGAGGAGCCCGTCAGACGGCCTCTGGAGGAGCCCGTCTGACGGCCTCTGGAGGAGCCCGTCTGCTGGCCTCTGGAGGAGCCCGTCTGCCGGCCTCTGGAGGAGCCCGTCTGACGGCCTCTGGAGGAGCCCGTCTGCCGGCCTCTGGAGGAGCCCGTCTGCCGGCCTCTGGAGGAGCCCGTCTGCCGGCCTCTGGAGGAGCCCGTCAGACGGCCTCTGGAGGAGCCCGTCAGACGGCCTCTGGAGGAGCCCGTCTGCTGGCCTCTGGAGGAGCCCGTCTGACGGCCTCTGGAGGAGCCCGTCAGACGGCCTCTGGAGGAGCCCGTCTGACGGCCTCTGGAGGAGCCCGTCTGACGGCCTCTGGAGGAGCCCGTCAGACGGCCTCTGGAGGAGCCCGTCTGCTGGCCTCTGGAGGAGCCCGTCTGACGGCCTCTGGAGGAGCCCGTCAGACGGCCTCTGGAGGAGCCCGTCTGACGGCCTCTGGAGGAGCCCGTCTGCTGGCCTCTGGAGGAGCCCGTCTGACGGCCTCTGGAGGAGCCCGTCTGCCGGCCTCTGGAGGAGCCCGTCTGCCGGCCTCTGGAGGAGCCCGTCTGCCGGCCTCTGGAGGAGCCCGTCTGCCGGCCTCTGGAGGAGCCCGTCTGCCGGCCTCTGGAGGAGCCCGTCAGACGGCCTCTGGAGGAGCCCGTCAGACGGCCTCTGGAGGAGCCCGTCAGACGGCCTCTGGAGGAGCCCGTCAGACGGCCTCTGGCCCTGCAGGGTCAGCATTATATATACTGACCTGTTGTTGTTGTTGTTTACCTCCTGTTCCCTGCAGTGGACCCCTGAGGGCCGCCGGCTCGTCACCGGAGCCTCCAGCGGGGAGTTCACCCTGTGGAACGGACTCACCTTCAACTTCGAGACCATCCTCCAGGTACACACTCCTACACACACACACTGCTGTACACACTCTGCTGTACACACACTCTGCTGTACACACACTCTGCTGTACACACACACACTGCTGTACACACACTCCTACACACACACTGCTGTACACACACTCTGCTGTACACACACTCTAACGTCTCCTATCTCCTCTCTCCTGTCTCCTCTCTAAGCTCCTCTCTCTAATGTCTCCTGTCTCCTCTCTAACATCTCCTCTCTCCTGTGTCCTCTCTAACGTCTCCTGTGTCCTCTCTAACGTCTCCTGTGTCCTCTCTAACGTCTCTTGTGTCCTCTCTGACGTCTCCTGTCTCCTCTCTCCTGTGTCCTCAGGCCCACGACAGCCCCGTGCGGGCGATGACCTGATCTCATAACGACATGTGTCTCCTCTCTCCTCTCCTCTCTAACGTCTCCTGTCTCCTTTCTCCTGTGTCCTCAGGCCCACGACAGCCCCGTGCAGGCGATGACCTGGTCTCATAACGACATGTGTCTCCTCTCTCCTCTCCTCTCTAACGTCTCCTGTCTCCTCTCTCCTGTGTCCTCAGGCCCACGACAGCCCCGTGCGGGCGATGACCTGATCTCATAACGACATGTGTCTCCTCTCTCCTCTCCTCTCTAACGTCTCCTGTCTCCTCTCTCCTGTGTCCTCAGGCCCACGACAGCCCCGTGCAGGCGATGACCTGGTCTCATAACGACATGTGTCTCCTCTCTCCTCTCCTCTCTAACGTCTCCTGTCTCCTCTCTCCTGTGTCCTCAGGCCCACGACAGCCCCGTGCGGGCGATGACCTGGTCTCATAACGACATGTGTCTCCTCTCTCCTCTCCTCTCTAACGTCTCCTGTCTCCTCTCTCCTGTGTCCTCAGGCCCACGACAGCCCCGTGCGGGCGATGACCTGGTCTCATAACGACATGTGTCTCCTCTCTCCTCTCCTCTCTAACGTCTCCTGTCTCCTCTCTCCTGTGTCCTCAGGCCCACGACAGCCCCGTGCGGGCGATGACCTGGTCTCATAACGACATGTGGATGCTGACGGCGGATCACGGCGGCTACGTGAAGTACTGGCAGTCCAACATGAACAACGTGAAGATGTTCCAGGCTCACAAGGAGGCCATTAGAGAAGCCAGGTTGATACCATATTAATAATACTGATGAAGATGATGATGATGAAGGTGGTGATCCCTCATGGAGACTCTGATCTGATGAGCTGTTTCTCTGTGAATAAAATCATCCCTTACTCCTGAGGAGGGAGGATGCTCTGCAGGATGCTAGGGGTCGGGGTTACAGCAGTCTGAGCTCACTGAGGGTGGATGCTCTGCATGTTATTTTAATGTGTGTGTGTGTGTGTGTGTGTGTGTGTGTGTGTGTGTGTGTGTGTGTGTGTGTGTGTGTGTGTGTGTGTGTGTGTGTGTGTGTGTGTGTGTGTGTGTGTGTGTGTGTGTGTGTGTGTGTGTGTGTGTGTGTGTGTGTGTGTGTGTGTGTGTGTGTGTGTGTGTGTGTGTGTGTGTGTGTGTGTGTGTCAGTTTTTCTCCCACAGATAATAAGTTTGCGACGTGCTCTGACGACGGCACGGTGAGGATCTGGGACTTCATGCGCTGCCACGAGGAGAGGATCCTCCGAGGTTAGTATTAGTATATTGTTGTAGTATTTATATTACTATTGTATTATAATTGATGCAGCCTCGTAGAAAAGTTAAGGTTCATTCATAAATAAAAACATGAAAGAATGATTGAAATAAAGTTACAGATCGAAGAAAGCATTTATACTAGGGATGCACGATATTGGTTTACGATACCGATACCGATAACTTCCTGCTTCTCAAGACCGATACCGATAACCGATAATAATATAATATATATATTAAATGTACGTGTAGTTTTTGCACACCTGGTGGTAAAACAAAGACTAGTAGTGAGCAAATGACGTGAGCATTACTACTATGAACAAAACTAAGCCAAGAACAGTTTTGACTCTCGTCAAGCGCCATCATTTCTATGATGAGGTTAGAGATCGTTTTAGCCCTGGGGTCGTCTCTGGCAAACGTCTTGCCTTTTCCAAAAGCCTCGTGGATAGCTAAAAGCCCCGGTGCCTTTGCAGCTGGCTTTGGATTCGCCACTAGTTTAGCAGCGCAGGCGTCTTCGTACGCTTTTAACACACCATCGTAGCGATGGCGATGTTTCAGGTGACTGATCAGGTTGGAAGTATTATAGCTCGTTGCCTTTTCCCTCCTCGTGGAACTTCTGCATTTGTTAATACAAATAGCAAGCGAACTATCTAACTCTGAAGCTTTGAAATAGTCCCATACCACCGGCGACATGTTTGTTTACTGTCCTGGCTTCACGGCCGCACACCATTTACGTCACAGCCAGGCATGAGTTAGGGAGCGCTGGATTTGTGAAGAACTCCCCTCTTCCTAAACCACTAATACCACAGTACTGGCAAAACGGGAGGAGCCGAGTGAAAAACAAGCGCCCCTCATCCCAATCCACCCACACCGCAGTATTTGTTCTTTTTTATCGGGTTTATCGGGATGACGTCATAATTCCTAATATCGGACCGATAATTATCGTGCACCACTAATTTATACTAATCTAAATTAATCTGTTGAAGGGCCCATGTCATGCTTCTCTGGTTCTGTAGCTTCTGACCCGTCCCCTTGTGTTCTGTAGCTTCTGACCCGTCCCCTGGTGTTCTGTAGCTTCTGACCCGTCCCCTGGTGTTCTGTAGCTTCTGACCCGTCCCCTGGTGTTCTGTAGCTTCTGACCCGTCCCCTGGTGTTCTGTAGCTTCTGACCCGTCCCCTGGTGTTCTGTAGCTTCTGACCCGTCCCCTGGTGTTTTGTAGCTTCTGACCCGTCCCCTGGTGTTCTGTAGCTTCTGACCCGTCCCCTTGTGTTCTGTAGCTTCTGACCCGTCCCCTTGTGTTCTGTAGCTTCTGACCCGTCCCCTTGTGTTCTGTAGCTTCTGACCCGTCCCCTTGTGTTCTGTAGCTTCTGACCCGTCCCCTTGTGTTCTGTAGCTTCTGACCCGTCCCCTTGTGTTCTGTAGCTTCTGACCCGTCCCCTTGTGTTCTGTAGCTTCTGACCCATCCCCTTGTGTTCTGTAGCTTCTGACCTGTCCCCTTGTGTTCTGTAGCTTCTGACCTTTCCCCTTGTGTTCTGTAGCTTCTGACCCGTCCCCTTGTGTTCTGTAGCTTCTGACCTTTCCCCTTGTGTTCTGTAGCTTCTGACCCGTCCCCTTGTGTTCTGTAGCTTCTGACCTTTCCCCTTGTGTTCTGTAGCTTCTGACCCGTCCCCTGGTGTTCTGTAGCTTCTGACCCGTCCCCTGGTGTTCTGTAGCTTCTGACCCGTCCCCTGGTGTTCTGTAGCTTCTGACCCGTCCCCTGGTGTTCTGTAGCTTCTGACCCGTCCCCTGGTGTTCTGTAGCTTCTGACCCGTCCCCTGGTGTTCTGTAGCTTCTGACCCGTCCCCTTGTGTTCTGTAGCTTCTGACCCGTCCCCTGGTGTTCTGTAGCTTCTGACCCGTCCCCTTGTGTTCTGTAGCTTCTGACCCGTCCCCTGGTGTTCTGTAGCTTCTGACCCGTCCCCTTGTGTTCTGTAGCTTCTGACCCGTCCCCTTGTGTTCTGTAGCTTCTGACCCGTCCCCTTGTGTTCTGTAGCTTCTGACCCGTCCCCTTGTGTTCTGTAGCTTCTGACCCGTCCCCTTGTGTTCTGTAGCTTCTGACCCGTCCCCTTGTGTTCTGTAGCTTCTGACCCGTCCCCTTGTGTTCTGTAACTTCTGACCCGTCCCCTTGTGTTCTGTAGCTTCTGACCCGTCCCCTTGTGTTCTGTAGCTTCTGACCCGTCCCCTTGTGTTCTGTAGCTTCTGACCCGTCCCCTGGTGTTCTGTAGCTTCTGACCCGTCCCCTTGTGTTCTGTAGCTTCTGACCCGTCCCCTGGTGTTCTGTAGCTTCTGACCCGTCCCCTGGTGTTCTGTAGCTTCTGACCCGTCCCCTTGTGTTCTGTAGCTTCTGACCCGTCCCCTTGTGTTCTGTAGCTTCTGACCCGTCCCCTTGTGTTCTGTAGCTTCTGACCCGTCCCCTTGTGTTCTGTAGCTTCTGACCCGTCCCCTTGTGTTCTGTAGCTTCTGACCCGTCCCCTTGTGTTCTGTAGCTTCTGACCCGTCCCCTTGTGTTCTGTAGCTTCTGACCCGTCCCCTTGTGTTCTGTAGCTTCTGACCCGTCCCCTTGTGTTCTGTAGCTTCTGACCCGTCCCCTTGTGTTCTGTAGCTTCTGCATGTGAACGCTCTGCAGAGTCCAAACCCTCAAAGTGCTCCCTGTAGGGAGCAACACTCTGACTCAGAGAAAACCTGTCTGCCCCAGAACGCCTCGCTGGAGATCTCTCTTTCTCCATTGTTTGCTTCTTAGTGACGTAACGCTGCGGACCCCAGCAATGACAAACAGATGAGAATGCTGCGTGGGGTCTGGGGGCCGTGTTGGGGGACGTTAGGGGGCTCGAGGAGCAGACACTGTGAGCTGGATTACTGGTGTGGTTTCCTGGTTGCTGCGTGGGGTCAGCGAGACACACACACACACACACACACACACACACACACACACACACCCGCAGCCTGGCACCACTAACCCAGCTCACACTGTCCGCTCCTCGAGCCTCACAGGGCGGAGCAGCGAGCCCCCCAACGTCCCCCCAGCACGGCCCCCAGACCCCACGCAGCATTCTCATCTGTTTGTCATTGTTGGGGTCATTTCCTGGTTGCTAACTAACGCCATGGTAACACATGATCACTGATGTTCCGCTTTAACGGGGGTGGACTCATCAGAACAGAGTGGGCGAGCTGACCAATCAGATTATAAAAATACTAAAGTCAATAAATAAATGAAAAAAGTAGATATTTTATGTGTGTGTGTGTGTGTGTGTGTGTGTGTGTGTGTGTGTGTGTGTGTGTGTGTGTGTGTGTGTGTGTGTGTGTGTGTGTGTGTGTGTGTGTGTGTGTGTGTGTGTGTGTGTGTGTGTGTGTGTGTGTGTGTGTGTGTGTGTGTGTGTGTGTGTGTGTGTGTGTGTGTGTGTGTGTGTGTGTGTGTGTGTGTGTGTGTGTGTGTGTGTGTGTGTGTGTGTGTGTGTGTGTGTGTGTGTGTGTGTGTGTGTGTGTGTGTGTGTGTGTGTGTGTGTGTGTGTGTGTGTGTGTGTGTGTGTAGGTCACGGTGCAGATGTGAAGTGCGTGGACTGGCACCCCTCCAAAGGCCTGGTGGTCTCCGGCAGCAAAGACAGCCAGCAGCCGATCAAGTTCTGGGACCCGAAGACCGGGCAGAGCCTGGCCACGCTGTGAGTGTTGTTGTTATTACATTAGACAGAGCATACTCTGTGAGGCTCTGTTATTATAATGATTACTCCTCAGTGTAGGGTTGCATATCGTTTACTTTTCTACGATACCGATACTCAACCGATACCGCTGAACGATACCGATACTCAACCGATACATATCGTGATACTTTCATGTTGCAGAGGGGAACAATGGAATCATCCTGCACTTGCTCCCGTGAAGCACTTTATGATGTAGCTAACATGTCAAATGAATACTAAATTAAATTGTGGGACCTTTTAGAACAAACTATGAAAAACACCTCATCTATGAAGAAAACAGATTCTGCAGTATCATTTATATCAACCATCAGGCGGGAGGAGCACAGCTTCCAGAGCTGGGAGCAAGTCATGAGCAAGTCCCAAGTCACTGTGGTGAGAGTCAAGCAAGCCAGTGGATCTATGGTGGGGGTCAGCACAGAGGTCAAGACTTCAATGCTGAAGGGCCAGTGGATCTATGGTGGGGGTCAGCACAGAGGTCAAGACTTCAATGCTGAAGGGCCAGTGGATCTATGGTGGGGGTCAGCACAGAGGTCAAGACTTCAATGTTGAAGGGCCAGTGGATCTATGGTGGGGGTCAGCACAGAGGTCAAGACTTCAATGCTGAAGGGCCAGTGGATCTATGGTGGGGGTCAGCACAGAGGTCAAGACTTCAATGTTGAAGGGCCAGTGGATCTATGGTGGGGGTCAGCACAGAGGTCAAGACTTCAATGCTGAAGGGCCAGTGGATCTATGGTGGGGGTCAGCACAGAGGTCAAGACTTCAATGTTGAAGGGCCAGTGGATCTATGGTGGGGGTCAGCACAGAGGTCAAGACTTCAATGCTGAAGGGCCAGTGGATCTATGGTGGGGGTCAGCACAGAGGTCAAGACTTCAATGCTGAAGGGCCAGTGGATCTATGGTGGGGGTCAGCACAAAGGTCAATGCTGAAGGGCCAGTGGATCTATGGTGGGGGTCAGCACAGAGGTCAAGACTTCAATGCTGAAGGGCCAGTGGATCTATGGTGGGGGTCAGCACAAAGGTCAATGCTGAAGGGCCAGTGGATCTATGGTGGGGGTCAGCACAGAGGTCAAGACTTCAATGCTGAAGGGCCAGTGGATCTATGGTGGGGGTCAGCACAAAGGTCAAGACTTCAATGCTGAAGGGCCAATGGATCTATGGTGGGGGTCAGCACAGAGGTCAAGACTTCAATGCTGAAGGGCCAGTGGATCTATGGTGGGGGTCAGCACAGAGGTCAAGACTTCAATGCTGAAGGGCCAGTGGATCTATGGTGGGGGTCAGCACAGAGGTCAAGACTTCAATGCTGAAGGGCCAGTGGATCTATGGTGGGGGTCAGCACAGAGGTCAAGACTTCAATGCTGAAGGGCCAGTGGATCTATGGTGGGGGTCAGCACAGAGGTCAAGACTTCAATGCTGAAGGGCCAGTGGATCTATGGTGGGGGTCAGCACAAAGGTCAATGCTAAAGGGCCAGTGGATCTATGGTGGGGGTCAGCACAAAGGTCAATGCTGAAGGGCCAGTGGATCTATGGTGGGGGTCAGCACAGAGGTCAAGACTTCAATGCTGAAGGGCCAGTGGATCTATGGTGGGGGTCAGCACAAAGGTCAAGACTTCAATGCTGAAGGGCCAGTGGATCTATGCTGGGGGTCAGCACAGAGGTCAAGACTTCAATGCTGAAGGGCCAATGGATCTATGCTGGGGGTCAGCACAGAGGTCAAGACTTCAATGCTGAAAGGCCAGTGGATCTATGGTGGGGGTCAGCACAAAGGTCAAGGCTTCAATGCTGAAGGGCCAGTGGATCTATGGTGGGGGTCAGCACAAAGGTCAAGACTTCAATGCTGAAGGGCCAGTGGATCTATGGTGGGGGTCAGCACAGAGGTCAAGACTTCAATGCTGAAGGGCCAGTGGATCTATGGTGGGGGTCAGCACAGAGGTCAAGACTTCAATGCTGAAGGGCCAGTGGATCTATGGTGGGGGTCAGCACAGAGGTCAAGACTTCAATGCTGAAGGGCCAGTGGATCTATGGTGGGGGTCAGCACAAAGGTCAATGCTGAAGGGCTAGTGGATCTATGGTGGGGGTCAGCACAGAGGTCAAGACTTCAATGCTGAAGGGCCAGTGGATCTATGGTGGGGGTCAGCACAAAGGTCAAGACTTCAATGCTGAAGGGCCAGTGGATCTATGCTGGGGGTCAGCACAGAGGTCAATGCTGAAGGGCCATTGGATCTATGGTGGGGGGTCAGCACAAAGGTCAATGCTGAAGGGCCAGTGGATCTATGGTGGGGGTCAGCACAGAGGTCAATGCTGAAGGGCCAATGGATCTATGGTGGGGGTCAGCACAGAGGTCAATGCTGAAGGGCCAGTGGATCTATGCTGGGGGTCAGCACAGAGGTCAATGCTGAAGGGCCAGTGGATCTATGGTGGGGGTCAGCACAGAGGTCAATGCTGAAGGGCCAGTGGATCTATGGTGGGGGGTCAGCACAAAGGTCAATGCTGAAGGGCCAGTGGATCTATGGTGGGGGTCAGCACAGAGGTCAATGCTGAAGGGCCAGTGGATCTATGGTGGGGGTCAGCACAAAGGTCAATGCTGAAGGGCCAGTGGATCTATGGTGGGGGTCAGCACAGAGGTCAATGCTGAAGGGCCAGTGGATCTATGGTGGGGGTCAGCACAGAGGTCAATGCTGAAGGGCCAGTGGATCTATGGTGGGGGTCAGAACAGAGGTCAATGCTGAAGGGCCAGTGGATCTATGGTGGGGGTCAGCACAGAGGTCAATGCTGAAGGGCCAGTGGATCTATGGTGGGGGTCAGCACAGAGGTCAATGCTGAAGGGCCAGTGGATCTATGGTGGGGGTCAGCACAGAGGTCAATGCTGAAGGGCCAGTGGATCTATGGTGGGGGTCAGAACAGAGGTCAATGCTGAAGGGCCAGTGGATCTATGGTGGGGGTCAGCACAGAGGTCAATGCTGAAGGGCCAGTGGATCTATGGTGGGGGTCAGCACAGAGGTCAATGCTGAAGGGCCAGTGGATCTATGGTGGGGGTCAGCACAGAGGTCAATGCTGAAGGGCCAGTGGATCTATGGTGGGGGTCAGATGACCAAGAAACTAGTGATCTGTGAAGAACAGCACTCCTGGTGTTTCGTAAACCAGCCATTGAGGGTGGACAGGTTTCCTCCCACTTAGGTTTCAAATCATTGCGTTAATTACTTATTGTAAAGCATTTGAACATTCTTTTGTGTCACATGTTCGTTATAAAGTTGATGTATAACTGCATAGTATCTTAATTATTTAAAATATAAGGTGACTAAAAATGGCAACCGTACTTTCAGTTTTGGCAACCCAAAGCTAATGCCTGGGTGAAGCGGTTCCTGCCGTTGCTACGTAGTTCAAACGGTAACAACGGACTATTTTTCTTAGCGGATGCACGTCATTTTAAATCAATATTAGTTTACTCTTTTCTTAATTTATAAAAGCATTTCAATTAATATTGGGAGTCATGTCGTTACTTTGTTGAGAATGTGGCCGTGTGATAATCATTACAGATCAAGGTCCCTCCGCTTTGCTTCGGCTCCTGATCCGCCTGTCGGGTGCTCTTCCCCAGATTGACCGCCTCGCTGCACATGATCCCTGACTACGTTCTGAAAGGGCTCTGAAGTGATAACAGGAGGACGACTCAAATATGTGCCATCAACATGTGAAGCCTCCTGCCCCTGGCTCGCCTTCAGCCCTGGCTCGCCTTCAGCCCTGGCTCGCCTTCAGCCCTGGCTCGCCTTCAGCCCTGGCTCGCCTTCAGCCCTGGCTCGCCTTCAGCCCTGGCTCGCCTTCAGCCCTGGCTCGCCTTCAGCCCTGGCTTGCCTTCAGCCTTCAGCCCTGGCTCGCCTTCAGCCCTGGCTCGCCTTCAGCCCTGGCTCGCCTGCCTGGCTCGCCTTCAGCCCTGGCTCGCCTTCAGCCCTGGCTCGCCTTCAGCCCTGGCTCGCCTTCAGCCCTGGCTCGCCTTCAGCCCTGGCTCGCCTTCAGCCCTGGCTCGCCTTCAGCCCTGGCTCGCCTTCAGCCCTGGCTCGCCTCCTGCCCTGGCTCGCCTTCAGCCCTGGCTCGCCTTCAGCCCTGGCTCGCCTTCAGCCCTGGCTCGCCTTCAGCCCTGGCTCGCCTTCAGCCCTGGCTCGCCTCCTGCCCTGGCTCGCCTTCAGCCCTGGCTCGCCTTCAGCCCTGGCTCGCCTCCTGCCCTGGCTCGCCTCCTGCCCTGGCTCGCCTCCTGCCCTGGCTCGCCTTCAGCCCTGGCTCGCCTCCTGCCCTGGCTCGCCTTCAGCCCTGGCTCGCCTTCAGCCTTCAGCCCTGGCTCGCCTCCTGCCCTGGCTCGCCTTCAGCCCTGGCTCGCCTTCAGCCCTGGCTCGCCTTCAGCCCTGGCTCGCCTTCAGCCTTCAGCCCTGGCTCGCCTCCTGCCCTGGCTCGCCTTCAGCCCTGGCTCGCCTTCAGCCCTGGCTCGCCTTCAGCCCTGGCTCGCCTTCAGCCTTCAGCCCTGGCTCGCCTTCAGCCTTCAGCCCTGGCTCGCCTCCTGCCCTGGCTCGCCTTCAGCCCTGGCTCGCCTTCAGCCTTCAGCCCTGGCTTGCCTTCAGCCTTCAGCCCTGGCTCGCCTCCTGCCCTGGCTCGCCTTCAGCCCTGGCTCGCCTTCAGCCCTGGCTCGCCTTCAGCCTTCAGCCCTGGCTCGCCTTCAGCCTTCAGCCCTGGCTCGCCTTCAGCCTTCAGCCCTGGCTCGCCTTCAGCCTTCAGCCCTGGCTCGCCTCCTGCCCTGGCTCGCCTTCAGCCCTGGCTCGCCTTCAGCCCTGGCTCGCCTTCAGCCCTGGCTCGCCTTCAGCCTTCAGCCCTGGCTCGCCTTCAGCCTTCAGCCCTGGCTCGCCTCCTGCCCTGGCTCGCCTTCAGCCCTGGCTCGCCTTTCATTTTGGAAAACCCACATAAGTTACTGTCCATGGTCATTTGAAAACAAATGCTGTTGTCGGACAGACAGACACACACACACACACACCGAACACGCACACGCAGAGCACAAACACACACACATCATGCGCCTTAGTGACCGGACATCTCCTTCATAAAACGAGTAATAGGGGGAATAATCGGGCAGTTCGATGTGTGTAGAGGTGTGTGTGTGTGTGTAGAGATGTGTGTGTAGAGATGTGTGTGTGTAGAGGTGTGTGTGGTTAAACGTAGCAGCCTGCGGTCGCTCTTTAGCCGTTCTAATGAAAGTAAACACAGGGAAGGCGTGCGTACCTCTTTGCGCGCTGGTGCTGCTCTTCTCACACGTCCCGCTGCCTCCTGGTGCTGCAGAGATTTCATGAAGTGAACGAGAGTCCGAGTTCAAAATATATCCAAAATAATGTATGCACTGCCATGTCCCAACATAAACATTACAGTCTGCAATGATACGGCTGTCTCCTGCGCTCCACTTCCTACTTGGCACTCCAAGTCTGGTGGGACTTAGACCACTCCAAGTGGGAACGAGAAACAGCATCTTATTTCTTTCATTGCCCTTTAGGGGCTCCGTACGATACAAAGGCAAACATTAAAAAGTCCTTTCGAGTCATCTGTCTCAATTCAAAGTCAAGTCTTTTATCAATGTTAGTCAAGCAAGTCTCAAAATATGCGTGTCAAGTCATGTGACTCGAGTCCCCACCTCTGACATTTCACAGCGTAGCATATCACCTGCTGAACTGAACTCTCTCACTCGGCACGCTGCTTCCCTACACAAAGGTACTATTGCCATACGAGACAGCATTGGTTGGAGGTTGGATGTGTTGCCACCTGTTCCATAAATACACTTCTGGCAGTGGTTACAGACCCCACCATCAGACTGGCAGTGGTTACAGACCCCACCATCAGACTGGCAGTGGTTACAGACCCCACCATCAGACTGGAAGTGGTTACAGACCCCACCATCAGACTGGCAGTGGTTACAGACCCCACCATTCAGACTGGCAGTGGTTACAGACCCACCATCAGACTGGCAGTGGTTACAGACCCCACCATTCAGACTGGCAGTGGTTACAGACCCACCATCAGACTGGCAGTGGTTACAGACCCCACCATTCAGACTGGCAGTGGTTACAGACCCCACCATTCAGACTGGCAGTGGTTACAGACCCCACCATTCAGACTGGCAGTGGTTACAGACCCCACCATTCAGACTGGCAGTGGTTACAGACCCACCATCAGACTGGCAGTGGTTACAGACCCCACCATCAGACTGGCAGTGGTTACAGACCCCACCATTCAGACTGGCAGTGGTAACAGACCCCATCATTCAGACTGGCAGTGGTTACAGACCCCACCATTCAGACTGGCAGTGGTAACAGACCCCATCATTCAGACTGGCAGTGGTTACAGACCCCACCATCAGACTGGCAGTGGTTAGAGACCCCACCCTTCAGACTGGCATTCGTTACAGACCCCACCATCAGACTGGCAGTGGTTAGAGACCCCACCATTCAGACTGGCAGTGGTTACAGACCCCACCATCAGACTGGCAGTGGTTAGAGACCCCACCCTTCAGACTGGCAGTCGTTACAGACCCCACCCTTCAGACTGGCAGTGGTTACAGACCCCACCATCAGACTGGCAGTGGTTAGAGACCCCACCATTCAGACTGGCAGTGGTTACAGACCCCACCCTTCAGACTGGCAGTGGTTACAGACCCCACCCTTCAGACTGGCAGTGGTTACAGACCCCACCATCAGACTGGCAGTGGTTACAGACCCCACCATCAGACTGGCAGTGGTTACAGACCCCACCCTTCAGACTGGCAGTGGTTACAGACCCCACCCTTCAGACTGGCAGTGGTTAGAGACCCCACCATCAGACTGGCAGTGGTTACAGACCCCACCATTCATATGCAGCCACACTTTAGATGTTCTAAAGTGACTCGTTTGCGGAGTTTCACGGTGAAATTGACATCGTAATTTTGACGGTTTGGGCGCGAGTTTAAGGATATTACGCCTCACTTTTATAAAAAAATTATCGAAAACCGGATCTGATTTCGGTACGGTATACCGTATACAGTAACCGGGTACCGGTATGCACCCCTACCTCAGTGTAGTGTTGATATAATGCCTGCTGACCTCCTTCTGCTCACAGCCACGCCCAC